ACCAAACCACAGAGAACCAGATTGATCACATCTGTATCAACAAAAAATTCCGAAGGTCATTGGAAGATGTGAGAACCCGGAGAGGAGCCGACATAGCTTCAGATCACCACCTGGTTGTTGCCAAGATGAGACTGAAGCTTAAGAAACACTGGACAACTGGACAAACAGCACTACAAAGGTTTAATACAGCCTTCCTTCGAGATACTGACAAACTCCATGAATTCAAGATAAGTCTCAACAACAGATTCCAAGCTCTACAGGATCTACTGAAAGAACAAAAAACTACTTTGGAGGACAACTGGAAAGGGATAAAAGAAGCACTAACTTCAACGTGTCAGGAGGTTCTTGGTCCTAAGAAGCACCATCACAAGGAATGGATCTCTATGGGAACCCTGGACAAACTTCAAGAAAGGAAGAACAAGAAACTAGCAATTAACAACAGCCGAACACGAGCAGAGAAAGTCAAAGCACAAGCAGACTACGCAGAAGCAAACAGAGAAGTGAAGAAAAGCATTAAAGCCGACAAGCAGAAATACATGGGAGAACTAGCAACGACGGAGGAAAAAGCTGCAAGAGAAGGGAATATGAAACAACTATATGATACAACGAAGAAATTGGCAGGGAGATATAGCAAACCAGAGAGACCAGTCAATGACAAAGAAGGAAAGACATTCACGGAGATTCAAGAACAGAGGAAAAGATGGGCAGAATACTTCGAGGAACTGCTGAATAGACCAGCCCCATCGAATCCACCGAACATCGAAGCAGCCCACACAGACCTTCCAATAGATGTCACTCCACCAACGATCGAAGAAGTCAAGATGGCCATCAGACAAACCAAAAGTGGGAAGGTGGCAGGACCTGACAATATACTAGCAGAAGCACTGAAGTCAGACATTGAAATAACTGCAAACATGCTTCACCTTCTATTCAAGAAGATTTGGGAAGAGGAACAACTGCCAACGGACTGGAAAGAAGGATATCTCATCAAGATACCAAAGAAAGGAGATCTGAGCCAATGTGAGAACTACAGAGGTATCAGTTTGTTATCAGTACCAGGAAAAGTTTTCAACAGAGTTCTGCTGAATCGGATGAAAGACGCAGTAGACGCCGAACTTAGGGATCAACAGGCTGGATTCCGTAAGGATCGGTCGTGCACAGACCAGATTGCGACACTACGGATCATCGTTGAACAATCAGTTGAGTGGAACTCATCACTATAAGTCAACTTCATTGACTATGAGAAGGCGTTTGACAGCGTGGACAGGAGAACATTATGGAAACTTCTTCGACACTATGGAGTTCCTGAAAAGATTGTCAACATTATCCAAAACTCATACGATGGACTACAGTGCAAAGTGGTGCATGGAGGACAGCTGACAGATGCAGTTCCAGTAAGGACCGGAGTCAGACAAGGCTGTCTACTCTCCCCATTCCTCTTCCTTCTAGTGATTGACTGGATTATGAAAAATTCGACATCTGAAGGGAAATACGGAATACAATGGACTTCTCAGAATCAATTAGATGATTTGGACTTCGCAGATGACCTAGCCCTCCTCTCTCATACACACGAACAAATGCAGATGAAGACAGCAAATGTAGCAGCAGCCTCCGCATCGATAGGCCTCCACATTCATAAAGGAAAAAGCAAGATTCTCAAATGCAACACGGAGAACACCAACCCAATCACACTTGACGGCGAAACTCTGGAAGAGGTGGAAACATTCAAGTACCTGGGGAGCATCGTTGATAAACAAGGAGGATCGGATGCAGATGTAAAGGCGAGGATTGGCAAAGCAAGGGCAGCATTTCTACAATTGCAGAACATATGGAACTCAAAACAACTCTCAACCAATTTCAAGGTGAGAATCTTTAATACGAACGTCAAGACAGTCCTACTGTATGGAGCTGATACGTGGAGAACTACTACGGCCATCATCAGGAAGGTACAAGTATTTATAAACAGTTGTCTACGCAAAATACTCAACATCCACTGGCCGGATACTATCAGCAACAGCCTTCTGTGGGAGAGGACAAACCAGCTTCCAGCTGAAGAGGAAATTAGGAAAAGACGTTGAAAGTGGATCGGACATACATTGAGGAAATCACCAATGTGCATCACGACTCAATCCCTAACTTGGAATCCGGAAGGGAAGCGGAAAAGAGGAAGGCCAAAGAACTCACTACGCCGGGAAATAGAAGCCGATATGAAAAGGATGAATAGCAACTGGAAAGAACTGGAAAGGAAGGCTCAGGACAGAGTTGGATGGAGAATGCTGGTGAGCGGCCTATGCTCCTCCACAAGGGGTAACGGGCGTAAGTAAGTAAGTAAGTAAGTAGTTTTCTACAGGACGGGGTCGCTAACCCCATGCTCAACCCTTATCGTTTAGCCGGGCTTGAGACCGGCAGTAACCCCAGAGGGGCTCTATTAACAGTTGTCTACGCAAAATACTTCAGATCCGTTGACCAGACACTATCAGCAACAACTTACTGTGGGAGAGAACAAACCAGATTCCATCCGGCGGAGAAAGAAACCAAGAAGAAGCGCTAGAAGTGGATAGGACACACATTGAGGAAATCACCCAACTGTTTCACAAGGTAAGTCCTCACTTGGAATCCTCAACGTCAAAGGAGAAGAGGAAGACTAAAGAACACATTACACCGAGAAATAAAAAAGGATATGAGAAGAATGAATAGCAACTGAATAGAACTAGAAAGGAAGGTTCAGGACAGCGTTGGTTGTAGAATGCTGGTCGGGGGCCTATGCTCCATTGGTAGTAAGAGACGTAAGTAAGTAGTTAAGTACATTAGTTCAATTAAGACAGAATATATATTTTGTTGATGATTTCCAGCTCAAACGAGATCTACAGTTAAGGTTAATTTTCTTATCTGGACAGGTAAATTAGTACGGCAAATATATTCAGATTTAGTAGTTTTCTAATATATTACCAATTCAATTATTGTTCAGCTTAGTTGTGGTTGTCACCTAAAAAACACGATTAACTTCTTTAAATTATTCATAACAGATCAGGTAATTCACAGTGTCTTGCTCTGCAATAAAACTACTTTTAAATTCGAAATGGGGTGATTTTGTAAAATCCAATTTTCAGCAAATCATTCGTGTACTTCACCGATAACTGTGAGAAGTTTCATATGCCTCAAAAGATTTTAATGTAGCGTTTTCTGTTCAAGTGCTCGTAAAGTTTAATATTTTTCATTACATCACCTATGAAAAATATTTTACACTAAAAGTTGTAATTATAAGATTGTTGAAGAATTTTTACAAATAGTTAATGAACATCTGGGCCAAATATACAAGTAATTTGATCTAATTTAGTAGGTAAATATCTTTGGAACTATGTACGATTGTGGTGTATGTTACTTATGGCAACATAAATAGTATGAAACGCCAATCACAAGTGGAATGCCTGCCAATAGAAGGTTGGGAAGTTCGAATCGAAGAGAACGGAAACAGAGTAACTATAATGACAATGAAAGAATAATGGAGTTTGAGACAATTAATGGAGGGTTCGTAAATGAAGTATTGAACTTATGGTTTTCACATTTTATAAAAGAATTCTGTAATTTTGTGTTGGAATGCATTTGTTTTTCTCCGCCAATATTCTCATTCATTACATTATAGTTACTTTTACTGAACACCTATTTACATTCGAAAAAATTAGCTTCTCCTCCAAGGTAAGAGTCACAGTCAAAAATACTCTGGGTTGAGTATCGTATTCAATGCATCATGATAGAGATTTATTTAATTTAAACTCGATACTGAATAAATTATGAATAGTATTACACTACATTTGGTAATCAAACAACAGTCACTTTAAGGTGTATGTTCAATGCCTCTTTATATGTTCTGAACATGGGATATTATTGTTAACAATCGCAAATAACAAATTCGATGTACATCATGTATTTCGGTTACTTATATATATGGCATGATCTGATCATTCGAGATTTTAGGGACACTGATAACATCAAAAATATTTTTTCACTTATTGATTTTCACTTGTCGATTCAAATCCCATATTGGTAGAAGTAGAAAGAGTATAAGTATTATGTGAAAGATAAGGGTTTGAAGATGTTATTGAAGGAGTATAATACGGTGAAATAAATTTGGAAAGAGAAAAAGGATACGGACATGAAGAATTCAGAAGATTAGAATTTGGTAGAACACAAAGAGTGGATGCACCTTCGCCATTGCAAACGATTTTGAGCCATGTCATTCAAGGTCTCTAACCATCGATTGCTATCATCTCGCGAATCCCAACCAGGTAGTCTACACCTACCAACATGGCTCAGTCCACTTGTCAGTGACTTCATGGATTTATGCCATGTTTTGGTTTGGCCGCCCTAGCTTTCTTCCAACCTACTCCTACGCCATGAAACACTGCACGTCGAGGCAGTCGGTGGTTGGGCATACATAACACGTATCCCAGCCATCTCAACTGATGAAGTTTCACTACTTCATCAATTGATTTCCCATCCTTACTTAGTACCCGCTTCTTAATACTTTAATTTGATAGACCAATAATAAAGAATGTATTCAGTAGATTATATTTTAATTACAATGTTACTAAATTCAAGGATTTTATAAATTTATGAGAATTATTATTCTCAATCTTATTTTCAATCATAAAACTTAGATCATAATAAACAAAGATGGATAGTGTCTAGCAATGGAATCCAGGACGCGCGTTTCGTTCTATTTGGGACTCGTGAGGACGAAACGTGCGTCCTGGATTCCACTGCTAGCCACTATCCATCTTTGCTTATAATGCTTGTGAATTAAGGTTATATCGAGGCAATACGCATAGTATGTACATATGTCAATTAGAGACTGATCAGCTGCAGTTCTAAACATCAATGGGAAGATTCAAACAAACAATACTAAATGAATTTAGATCATAATAATTAGAAAAGTTATATTTGATGTATGAAAATTAACTTTCAATTTTAAATAGAATGAAAATCTTATTAAAACTTACCAGAATCCATTTGAACTTGACGTTTTCTAATCTGAAAAGAAATTTATCAAACAGAATTAATTTCCATAAAATTTTGAACAGAATAAAACTGACTATTAATAAGTTAGAATTAAAAAAATAACAGATGACATGTGAGTTCGTTATAAAGGTAGTCATTTTAACATAAATCAATAATATCTACATTTACATAAATTATTTAATTTTTTATGAATTGTCATAAATCCAATACTCGGATAAATGTGATCTGAAACCTCAAACTTATATAAGTTAAAAACAGGAATCGATCCTCATAGTTTATATCATGAACTGATTTTATTTAGACAACTACTGAAAACCATGAAGTACAGCTGTTTCACCATACTATAGGATTCATCAGTGGTGGTTAACCACGACTGAACCAGTAATCAGACCCTAAACTTTCAGGTATCACTGGGTTGTACAACTATCACTTATAAATGTTTGTGATATTTTTTTCTTGCAGACAAAACAACTAAGCTCAACTGATTGTGTCAATGAATTATATTTTATTTACACACTCTACATTTTAATGATCAGATTTTTACATATTTAAAATGAATAACTGTTTATATAAGAACTTTCGTCTAAAATAGAGAGAATAGTTTCACAGTATTGGAGCGCCGAGTTGATGTAAGACATATTAAATAGGAATAATATATTCGTAAAATCTCAGCGAATGAATTTGAAGTAAATCCAACGTTTCACCTAGCAATCTGGTTCAAGCTTTTTCAAGGAATCTTATTTAATGAATAACTGTTTGTTTATAAATGTGACTTGATAAAATCAAATTGATGTAGTTGTTTACATCCATTTCAATCCTAATAAAATCTTATTTTACATTTGTTAGATTATTAACTTAAATGATAATTAGAATGATAGTGTACACAAATAATTATTTATATTTCATCCTTATATTTATGTAAGGCGCCAATGTTACAAAGTGTTCAACCTCTAGGTCTACCGTATAGTATATGGAAAGTATTAAAAATCCCATTGATAGTAGTAACCACAGAAACTGTTTATTGTTTTATTACTCTATTTCGGTAATTATTAATAACCACAATGTATATTTTGATGACTAAACTTATCATGATCACTGTCTTTGATTGATAAATATTTATTATTATTTTTAGTTATTTAATCTATTCCACTGTTATCATTGACTCATAAACTGCCTTGATTGGTTTAATAATTTTGTATATGCATATAAATATTACTGTATATTAGATTAAAGCCTAATGAGGATCTAATAGAAAACAATATTGTTTGCTTATATAACTCGATGGCGTTTGAAGCGAAAGGTGCTTGGTTCGAGTCCCAGTGTGAACATCAACTCTGAGATACAGGTACATCCAGCTGACGAGTCCCAAATAGGACGAAACGCGAGTCCTGGATTTCACTGCTAGCCACTATCCATCTTTGCTTACAACGCTTGTATATGTTGTTCTAAATCACAATATGGGAATTTTTCAAATTTCTTAATTCATCAATTATTTTATACATGCGAAGTTAAAATACGGTGAAATGAAATAAATATTTATAATTAGAACCCTTTATTGTCCGGTTGTTAAAAGTTCCGGTTATAAAGCAATTTATTTAAGTAGTTGAACTAGATTAGTTCTAGTGCTTCCAGGTTTTCCTTGGTGGTCTAGCTTCAATTGACTCATGCTTTCAACTATGAAAATATTTTTTTTCATTTAATCACTTTTATTTTATTTGTCAGATAATGAACTAAGAGCAAAATTTTTGTATCAAATACTAATGATCCTACTTAAATCTGATCTACTTTAAGTTACTTTGTTAGTTATAAAATTTAATTATGAATTATATAATGTGTGGGTGACCCGAGTCAAGTTCATCTTTTTCTTCAATCTATTCTAGTTCACATATTGTTTGAGACTATGGGCTGGGTATCCATACCATACAAACTAATGAAATATTTTCATTTTACACAATCTAGTGTAGTTGATATTATTAAGGATGGATTTTTTCGACTTATTCAGGAGTCGTATGGCTAAAGGCCTTCAGTGACAAAGTGAGATGTGTTTATAATAAGTTGTTATAAGTAAGACTATATATTCTGTCACGTTAAATCGAATGGGGAATAATGTGAATTTTTAAGAATTATATTCGTAATTTTGTGCTAACTAAATATTTTTACCATCTACAGATTGTAAGTTTATATAGAGACAGGATTTAAATTTATCACTGCTTAAGAAGAAATAAAAAAACTCATCGGTAGTTTTGATTTATATCATCAATGGGTCGACGTTAGACAACTATTGGAAATATGGAAACACTGGACGACCGTCCCGTTCTAGTATGGGACTCCTCGGGAGTGCGCATCCTCTATCCCGCAATCTGGATTCGAAACCAGGAACTTCGGTTTCGCGCACGAACGCCTAACCTCTATACCACTGAACCAGCAGGCATACAAAGGTGTTAATGTCTAACTTCAACCAATCCACGAAATTGCTCCACCGTCCACTGTTGTCTTCAGTGAGTAACTGTCTCACAACAAACACGGTCGGACTCCACCGGTCACCAGGAAGTCAACTTGAAGCCAGTCACTAGCGAGCAGATTGTGATGTTGTTTTTTTTCTTTTTTTAAATCATATTCTTATATTAACTAATTATATAAATATTTATTAGGTATATTTATCGTCATTTGGTCATTTGTACTCTTGAATAATTTGATTAACTAATTTTAAACAAAAAGTGGATTGAAATACAAAAAGGATACTAAGACATTAGTCTTATTCCTTAAAAATTCCATATATAATATCAATAAGAAACTATTACCTTCATTCAAAATAATACTTTGATGATAATTTGGAGTGGATATTCTTCAAAAAGAGATTTTTAGCTAAGAACGTTTAATATCACTCTTAGGATAATTTAAGCGCAATCCAGAAAATAAAAACAAGTTTACAATGTTTTGTTAGTAAAGCATGTTTGTATTTAACACAGTAGCTTTTTGAACAGCTGTGATCAGGCATTGACTCCAATACCTTCAGGGAATTTTACTCATACTTAACCTTCAATCAATAAGTTGATATCTGCTGGTTTGAATTTCTATATTCAGATAATTCGTTATGTTATGCTACTTACATGTGAAGATAAGTTAACATAAAATAAGATTTATCAGTAAATATTTCAAAGATCCTTTTCTATTTTTCTGATTTTCAAAATTTAAATAGTTTGCGACTATCAAATAAGTCTAGCAAGTAATACAACCTATTTTTAATTTTTAATTATGAAGCTTCGTAACGTCAATTTACACTATGTGGAAAATATTTTGGTAATATCAATTTAGATTAGTAAATATTTGATTTCAATGAAACTTTAGTTTATAGTTAATTAGTTTAAATCAATTCTAAGGATGGTTATTTTTATGTATCATACCTGGTCAGATCGTATTTACCAAATGAGTTCAGTGTTATGTTATCAAATAATAACAGCGATGAAAGTGAAATCATGAATTTACTGATTTATTTATTTATTTGAACACATAAATATTGGTACAAAGGGGCACCGACTACATATGCGCCACATAAGTCACTTGGTTTGTGTGACATTTCCCGGGTGCCCAAACCAAGGAAGGTAGTTCTCTTAGGGGACCACATCCGGAACCTTCGACCTAAATGTCTGATCCACAAGGCAGTGGAGCAACGTAAGAAGATGGAGTCTCGTGGTAGCCTGTGAACAACGATTGGTTCATACGCCATTTGTTCCGTCAGGATCCTGAATCCCATGTGCATCATTGGTTTGGAATCAGGGTTTTTCAGCTTCACTAGGTGGATCCTTCGGGTCTACCAGCTCGGTTAAAACGCCGGACATTCGCTTTATGTCCTCTCAATTCCCTAAACAATACCCCCACTACAAGAAGGAAGTGAGTAGGACTTCCCTGACAGTGGCTGTATACACATGGCCACGTGAGAGCATTTGGAGAGGGAGAGCTGACTCTTCCCTATCTTCGGCTGTACCGGTGTACTTGACGGATGTAGCTCTTGGTACTCTGGACTCTGAAATCATGAATAAACTCAACTTTATACCTAAAATCTAAAGACTCTCTGCATATTCTTTATTTTAATGATCAATGAAACAATACCGATTATCGAATATTAGTAAGCTGTTAATATAATGTAATTTAAGACTGAACAAATTATGATACCTGATTCGCAGTTTTAAAAGCTTTAAGTAAACAACATATCACAAAATCTAGATTAGGCAAACAAACAACATTAATTGATTGACTGATCACTGAGTAGTGAGCAATGTCATGTTTATCTATTCCGTAGTGCTAATCGAGTTCGATCAATGGAACTTGATCAAGGCTAACACCAGGTAAATATAAAGTTGGCAACCCTTCAGTCGTTAATGAATATAAACATCCATTCAATAGAAGATTATGTAAGATCTGAATATTAGTGTTCTCGACTGTCCTATCGAAAAATATGATTTCAAATCTTGTGAAGTGCAACAGTTCTCTCAAGACTATAAATATATCTTGTCAACAGGAGTTAATTAGACAAAAACCTAGACTCAAGATTCTTAGAGACTACTTATTGTAAGTTTGTGATAAAATTATTAACTAGTGTCAGAAACAGAAAACTAAACACATGCTACCTAATACTTATTTACCTCTTGAAATGAAATATGTAGTAAATAGGTGTTTTAAAGTTTACTTTAAAAAGCTGGTTGTAAAACCAGAAGAAGATAGAAGTTTTCTTACTAAATTTATATCAGTCCAGTTAGTTTGACAATTGAACATAATGTCAAGTCGCTTAAACATAATCATAAACCTAAATAATGTAATAAGGAAATGAAGATTATCAAGACTATAGGATATATTAACGCAATACATTTCGAACAATCTGATCACACATATACTTGTTAAGAATATTTATATATAAAAATAAAAGTCAACCAGACAGATCAAAAGTAAAGGTAAGCAAGGATAATAATAAAAAAAATTAACATGAAAAACAATTTGAAACCCACTACACTGAA